TGATGAAGCGACTGTTCGAAAAATTAAATCGAGTGGGAGATTTAGTGGAACGTCATGATGGAAACTAGAAAGAAGAATTGGCCATTATAGATTCGGCCAAGACGCCAGGGACAGCGACCAGCCGTGCGCATTCAGGGAAGATCATAATTCAAAAAACTAAGCAAACACGTTGTGAAAAAGACTAGCGATGGGGGTGCGGAAATAACAACACGTCGCCTATTAGTGTACAAATAAATTACAATTTTTAGTGGATATTGGAGCCGATATATCAGTTTTGCCGGCGTTAAATTTAATTGTTGTAAAAGGATAAGCAATTCAGACGTATGGAAATCAGGGATGGAAAATTCAGTACAATAGTATTTTTTCAGTACCTTTTTACCCAAAAAAGTACCGCAGTACCCCGTGGCCATTTCAGTACCATTCCAGTCCTCCATTAAACCATGATATATAATTTGTTTTTGGATTAGAATTTGTTATGGATTTGACCGAAGATTTTGATGTGATTGCAATATTCTTCTTAAAAATGAATGGGTTTACGATTGATAACTGTTCAGTTATGATTAAAATTACAAACATTAATTTATCAGTTCCAATCTTTTTTAACCGGATATGTTTGTCAGATACTCAATTTGGCGTACTCTGTGCTATCTCCTGAGGTAGGCAAATTCATGACATTTATAGTCGTCGTGATTACTTCAATAATTTCAAGAGCACTTTAGAACTGAAATTCATGTTAGTTGGGGGATTTTGGCTTTCGAGAAAGAGTTTGTGAAATTAAAATTAGTCAATAGCATACATATTCAAATGCAATCGAAAGAAGCAAAAATTCTCATATTATTACCATCAGAAACATAGACTAAGTGATGATATCTTGAAAATAGATCTTTATGAAACTGAATAAAATGTTTTTTTTTTGTATTTTCTTAAAAAAATACTCTTTTATTATAAAAAGCACTTTTTTGGATAAACGTAGATTTAGGATTACGTTGCGATTTTCAGTTTGTTTTCACTTTGGCGAACATGGACAGACCGATAATTGGTGCGGATTTTCTGCACAAGTAGGGAATGTTAATTGATATCAGAAATAAAGTTTTGGTAGAACTTTGGTAGTAGCGGTGAAGAGGATACCCCAGAACCAATAATAAATGACGGTATAGAGTGTATACCACCTAGCCAAGATGAAGTCAGAATAGCGATCAATCGGCTGAAGAATAATAAAGCAGCAGGTGCCGATGGGTTACAAGCCGTTCTATTCAAGACTGGTGGTCAGATGCTGGTAAGGAGCATGCACCAGCTAATTAGTACAATTTGGCTCAGCATCCTGTGTCCCGTGCACAAAAAAGGAGACAAGACGATATGTGACAACTATAAATGAATAAGTCTCATTCCAATCGCATATAATGTGCTATCCAGCGTACTGTGTGAACGACTGAAGTCAATGGTCAATGACATTATTGGGTCATACCAATGCGGCTTCAGACCTGGCAAATCCACCATTGAAGAGATTTTCACTCTGCGCCAAATCCTGGAAAAAACCCACGAAAAACACATTGACACATTGACAAATTCCACCTATTCGTCGACGACACCACCTAGCCGCATTCGACAGCCCTATCCGTTCAGAGGTGCATAAAATCATGTCTACGTTTGGCATTCCTGCAAAATTAATTCGGTTATGCAGGATAACTTTAACAGACACAAGATCAGCAGTTAAAGTCGTAAATGACCTCTCCGAGCTCTTTAATACCGAATGAGGATTCAGACAAGCTGACAGTTTGTCGTGTGACCTTTTTAACAACCTGCTGGAAAATGTCATACGAGAGGCAAACGTGAACAAATATGGCACTCTGTACACCAAACAACAGATGGTACTCGCCTGCGCCGATGACGTCGAAATAATGGGTCGAACACTGAGAGCGGTAAGAGCCACCTTTGAACAAATTGAATAGGAGTCTGCCAAAGTGGATCTGGCAGTAAACGGCGAGAAGACCAAGTTGATGGTATCAACGCGCAAGACGTCCAGTCAAAAATTTTATATACCTTGGTACAGTCATAAATAAAACGAATGACATCAGTTTTGGAATTCGAAGAAGGATAGTGATGGCCAACCGATGCTACTATGGTCTGAGCAAACAACTCAAAAGCAAGACCAAACTCCCGCCATACCAAACTCACACTCTACAAGACGCTGATACTACCCGTGCTGTTATATGGATCTTAAGCATGGGTACTTACGCAAGCAGATGTGGCAGCTCTTGGAGTGTTAAGAGAAAAATTCTTCGAAATATCTATGAGCCGATCTGCGTTGATGGTGAATATCGCCGTCGAATGAACCATGAGTTGTACCAGCTATTCTCGGACATCGACATTGTTAGACGTATTGAACTGCAGCGACTACGTTGGCTAGAATGGATGAAGATGCCGCAGCCCTGAAGGCATATAAAAACGAACCAGCTGATGGTTCAGGCAGAAGGGGAATGCAACGAATAATATGGAAAGATCAAGTGGAAGACAACATAGCCGAAAATGGTCCTTCAAATTGGAAAAACTGCGCATAAATTTTTTTTTAAGCTTATGGAACGAAAATTCTGTCACAAGCCAGCTAAGTAAGTAAGTATATAGACCCTCTGACAAATTTAAAGGTGTCTAGCGTTTCAAAAATTATTCGTTTCTATATGCTGATATATTATCTCGGCATTATATCGAATGTTTCAGTACGTATGTTCCTCTAATTTAAAATTGTCTAATCATAATTAAAAATCCATTGGTGGTTCCATAATCATATGAGTACACTGCGGCTCATTCTTATCAACATATTATTTTCGGACGATTTTTTTTTATTTATTATGTTTAAACAAATTTTTCCGCTCAATTAAGAATATTTACGGTAACCACAAGAGGCACCTTTTGGGTGCAACCGCTGGTGACCTTTCAATACTTAAAAGTGCATTACAAAAATTATGAGGGGAATTCCAAAAATCGCAAACAAAAACACAGATTTCGTCATCACTTCAATTATCCTCTTGACATTTTTGGGTATTTACGAAGGTTAAAACATCGCTTGGACCTTGAAAAGATGTTCTTATGAAAGTTTTTTTTTTTTTAAATTAAAAATACAAAATTTAAATAAGATATGAATCGGCAACGGAAGATTTTTTTGTTTATATATTTATCGCGAGAGGAAAAAATAATGCAATAAAAATTAAGAATAAAAATTTGTTAGTGCTGATCTTTAACTAAATTTTTAATATTTGTTTGTTTAATATTAAAGAGACCATTTGTTGGCCAGCTGATCCGCTGTGTTATCATTTGTTATCAACTAAGAGAAAACTATTAAAGAGAGAGCAGAGAGAGATACTCATTTTTAAAACAAAACAACCATAAGGTGCTTAATTGATATATGGGCAGGGCTGTCAGTTTTGACGATTTTTTGGTCAAAAATTGAAAAATGACGATTTGACGATTTTTGCCCAAAAAATGACGATTTTTGGTCATTTTAGTAATATTGCAATATTTGGGTTCGTTTTGTTATGGCAACATCAAAAATGAATAAAGCGAAAGAAAAAGTAAAAAGAATTTGAATATTTGGCATATGTGTGTGAGGTTTACTTTGTTCTGTTACAAAGCCAACAACAGTTTACGTTTACCCAGATAGATGAAAAACTACCAATCAGCTGTGCCGTTCTCTGGGTAGACAGCAACAAAACAAATAAAAGTTAACGGTTGTTGTTTTTTGACACGGGCAAATTGAAGAAAATTGGTGAACGGAAACGTTATATTAAATTTAAGTTTCAATTTATACAAAGTTATTACAATTTTAAAAATATTCGATTTGAAAGCATTTTTAAAATTGTATCTATGATAAGTCCAACGTATATTAGTAATGAAAAGAATAATTCATTTTTCGATATCCTTAAAGAATTTCCACATTTTGTGAACGAAGATGAAAAACAAAAATTGGATTCAGAATTTCGCGAACTAAGGTTGTTTGATTTTGATAACATTTGTGAAAATGATGAAACCGATTTATTTCGTTTTTGGAATGCAATATTTGATTTGAAACGTGGTGATGGTTCATATGTTTTTCCTATAATAACTAAATTTGTACGGAAGGTAATGGTATTACCCCATTCCTCAGCAAATGTTGAGCGTGTTTTCAGCCAAGTAAACCTTAATAAAACGAAAAGTCGAAATTCCCCCAATAAGGATTCAATGGAGAAATTTATACCAACGATTATTTAAAAGTTAACAAAACAAATTGTTATGATACGTTAATTAAAACCGACATGTTGAAAATGATTAACACAAATATTTATTTTCAAAATGAATGACTTTATTAAAGTCGAAATGACTATTCAAATATTTATTTATAAAATAAATGAATTCCTTGATTAGCTTTAAAACCCGTGTTTAATAAATTGAATACCTCTTTTATGTTCATTTTAATAAAAAAAATATATTTAAATATATCTAAATGTGCGTATTTAAATTTTTGACGATTTTTGATAAAAAATCGTCATTTTGACGATTTTTCCAAAAAAAAATCTGGCAGCCCTGTATATGGGGCCAGATAACTCTCGCTCTCTTCCCCCATAATTCCAGGGTAGACACCGTGACTGATTTTTGTGTTATTATCTACGTTAGTTGTGCGTAAGACTGTGGCCTGTGTGGAGCTGGTTGCGATCGGTCCGGTAAAAAGAGAACAACAAAATAAAAAAAAATCGAAGAGCTTTTTGTTTTGTTTTGATAGATTGTACTTAAAGAGTACAAAAACAAACGTGTAACCTGCAATAAAAAACAAAGTTTGGAGATATATAGAACCGCACTGAGGACATATGCACCTCGCCGCCGCACGGCTAATTAAATAATTCATAAAACAAAATCTAGAAAACAAAAATTTTCCGAACATAACACCATAAGCTTTTACAGCTACTATTTATGCACTGCTGCTGCTTCTTCCCCGTGACCCCCCATCAACGACAGACAAACAAACACCAAGAATGTTGACATTTAATCGTGTTCTTAGCAGAAAGCTTTTTAACAGCACCCCTGCTTTTACAACAGTGGCAAGCAAAAGTTTGGCAACCTCCACTTCTCTGCCTCCAACACCCGAAATAACAGATGGTCACCCTTTGAAGGGTATTAAAATTCTCGATCTCACCCGCATTGTAGCTGGTCCATATTGTACCATGATTTTGGCGGATATGGGTGCTGATGTCTATAAAATCGAGCGGCCCTATGCGGGAGGTGATGAATCGCGTAAATGGGGACCACCCTTTCTGGAGAATAGCAAAGATTCAACCTATTTCTTGGCCTCAAATCGTAACAAGAAAAGTGTTTGCATTGATTTGAAAAAGGGCAAGGACATCATCTACGAATTGGCCAAGACCTGTGATGTTCTCGTGGAGAATTATGTACCCGGAAAATTGGATGAAATGGATTTGGGTTATGAACAGCTGAAGAAAGTCGCTCCCCATTTGATTTATTGTTCCCTAACAGGCTATGGCTCCAAGGGACCCTATGCCAAACGCCCTGGTTACGATGTCATAGCAGCTTCCATTGGTGGCCTTTTACACATTACCGGCGAAAAGGAAGGTCCTCCCAGCAAGGTCGGCGTGGCTGTCACAGATGTTGCCACCGGCCTTTATGCCCATGGTGCCATCTTGGCTGCCCTACTACACAGACAACGCACAGGACGTGGCCAAAAAATCGATGTCAATCTCTTCTCAACCCAGGTGGCCCTGCTCATCAATGTTGCCTCCAATTACCTTAATGCCGGTCTCGATGCCCAACGTTGGGGCACAGCCCATTCCAGCATTGTCCCCTATCAAAGTTTCAAAACCAAAGATGGTCACCTCACCCTCGGCACCGGCAGTGATAAACAATTCCAGGAAATGTGTCAACGTCTGAAGATCGATCACCTAGCCGAAGATCCTAAATTCAAGACCAACAAAGATCGTGTTAAAAATCGTAAAGAAATAATTCAACTTCTCGAAGATATTTTCTGCCTGAAAACTTCTAAAGAATGGATGACACAATTTGATAATGTGACATTCCCAGTGGGTCCGGTGAATAGCATTCGTGAGGTGTTCGAAGATGAACACATTAAGGCAATTGATTTGGTCAAAACATTGCCACATCCTGCTGATGGTGTAGTGAAAGTAGTGGGACCACCGGTGGAATTTAGTGAATCTGTAAATGATGCCAGGTCTGCACCTCCAGTATGTGGTCAGCATACTGATGAGGTGTTACGCGAAGTGTTGAAATATTCTGATAGCCATATTGCCGATTTGAGAGCTAAGAAAATTATTGAATAGATGTTTGCAATAATTGTGAGAGAATGTGCATTTATTAGTCATAATAATAAATAATTTTATTTAAAATGAAAATGATAGTATTTTTCCTAAAAAAAATGTATAGATGTGTGTGTGTGGCGGTTGGAGAACCCCCCAGAGATTTTGACGTTCTCCTGTCAGAGTTCATTCCGTTGAAACATTTATATTCATGATGACAAGCATTCTTAGGCAAATTTCTTGTTTAGCTAGCATTATTTTTATTAGCATGATCTATGTTATCAGCATCCGACAATTACTCTGCAAAAAACTACGGCAAGATGTGTTTTTTTTCTGTTTTACAATATTCTGATGAAATAGCGATACCCCTGAACATAGTGTTGTGAGGATGTTCTAATAATTTACAAAATTTGGTTGATGTTGTTTTTGGTGATTAAAGAAAGGTCCTTATTTTCGATGGCGGGCATGATAACTCATTACTAGAACATCGGAATCCGGAAATTTCAATGGTGTTAGAAAGAGTACATGTCTGGCTCTCATATGAACTAGGATTTTAGACTTTGCTCAAAAATCAAAAAAATGGCAGACATTTGAAAAATTTGTTTTTGGAAAATCGCCTATTTTTTACTACAAACCAAGTTGAAAAATAAGGAAGATCTTTACCGATTGGCTTTATCCTAGTTCATGCGATAGCTATACACTCCCCGAGAAACGTGTACAAATTTGGAATCGATTGAATTATTCGTTTTTGAGTTATCGTGCCCGCCATCCGCAAAAACACTGTTTGGAGAAAAACGCGATTAAAGTTTGAGAAGCTCTTCAACCGTCACCTGATGCTGATACAATAAATCGGTCATATCTTCAAAATTTGTTGAGATTTGCGCTTGAAATTTTATAGGGACATTCTTGAATTAGTGTAGGTTCGAATTAAATCAAGACACAAAATTAAATTTTTTGAAACAGAGAATGATACACGATATTCGATATATCGCGCTGTTCAAAATTTAATCTAATCCCGTTCGAAATATCTATGGAGCTATGTCTGTATCTGCATCACTTTCAACAAATTCTAGTCTTAATTCGATACGTTATGCTAAATTTCGTATCAATCGGACAAACATTAGGTGTTTGGAGCACCATGTATCTTAAATCGGACGAAGTATACATAGGAGCTATATCTGAATGTGAACCGATTTCAACGAAAATTGTCAGAGACTATTTTATATTATCTTCAGTACATAGTACAAAATTGTGTGCCAATCGGACAAAATTTGGGTTTTTAGTGCACAATTTACATAAAATCGGAAGAAAATATTTATATATATTTTCATGAAACATAGCAATCAAGACCCTATGCCAAATTTTGTGCAAAGTGAAAGATATATAGGGACTCTTTTGTCCCATTTACCTTAAATAGGACGAAAATATATTTTGGATCTAAATCTAGCCCAATTTTCTCGAAACTTGGCACACGTCATTCTAGACTCAATTCAGTACACTATGCAAAATTTCGTGAAAATCGAAAGATATATAGGAACTTTGTTGCACCATTTACATAAAATCGGACGAAAATATATATGAGAGCTATATCTATATATGAACCGATTTTCACGAAACTTAGCACAAATCATTCTAGACTTAATTCAGTATGTTATACTAAAACTCGTGCAAATCGAAAGATATATATAGGGACTTTGGTGCACCATTTACCTAAAATCGGGCGAAACTATATATGGGAGATATATCTAAATCTAACCCGATTTTCTCGAAACTTGACACACTTCATTCTAGACTCAATTCAGTACACTATGCAAAATGTCGTGCAAATTGAAAGATATATAGGGACTTTGGTTCACCATTTACATAAAATCGGACGGAAATATATATGGGAGTTATATCTATATATGAACCGATTTTCACGAAACTTAGCACACATCATTCTGGACTTAATTCAGTACCCAATGCCAAATTTCGTGCAAATCGAATGTTATATAGGGACTTTGGTGCACCATTTATATGAAATCGGACGAAACTATATACGGATAATAGGGATCGTCCTTGTGCAAAATTTCATACATAAATCGGATCATAAATGCGACCTGTACTTTGTTTACAATATTCCATCTACAGACTGACATGCATAAATCGTCTCAGAAAGTGATTCTATGCATATTCTAAATTTTTTGCCTGTTACAAACATATGCACAAAGCCATTGAAAACATTGTTTGATAAAATAATATTTCAATATTGGTTTATAAATTCCTAATGAATGTGATATTAATAAAATTCGAAAAAATCTAGATATATCAGGAAATAACATACACTCTTTTCATTCGTGAAACATATTTCATATCTCAGGAAGTATAGACTTCTTCTATAACATACTTATATATTTGATAAATTGATTAAATACCCGGTAAATTGGTTAAATACCCTAGTGTGGGTATTTACTATATTGAATAGGTAATACAATTTCTTACACTCTATTTTCGATTTAAAGCAAACCTTGCACAACGTATTATCTTTACCAACGCTAGATCAAGTAGGAAGATAGGGTCCATTGGTCCACTTGTTTGGTACCTCCCCAACAAAGAGTCAACCTTTTCAATATATAAATCCAATTTCAGGTAAATGGAATGTTCGATTTGAAACAAACCTTGGGCAATCTATTATTTTTACCAAGATGAAGTCCAAAGATGGGGCCTATTGGTCTACTCCTTTTGGTACCTCCGCCACAAAATGGTCAAAATTGAGCAAAAAGTTATTTTATAATATCATGCGAACGAACTATCAGATTTGAACCAAACTTGGTGCAACCTATTGCCGTTACCAAGTGCAGGTGAAGTCCGAAGATCGGACCCTTCTGGTACCTCCCTAACAAAGGGCCAACATTTTCATTATTTATAAATCCACTTTCAGGCGATTCTGTTATCTTCACCAATCCTAGATCAAGTCCTCCCCCAGAAAAGAACAATATATTTTAAACTAGTAAAATTTATTAAATTGAAGCAAATTAAAAAACCGGAAATCTCTTTGATAAAAACATACCTTACAAAATTCCATTCAATTCGGATCGTAAATGCGATCCTCCTTTTTTTACAATAATACCGAGACATAATACCCTGTACCACAGTGGGGTGAAAGGTTTAAAACCCCAAAGGCTACCAATGAAAGTTTGTAAGTCCCTGAACAGGGTATTATAATTTTGTGCAGCCCCAAGAGTTTGCAACGCCGCGAAATATTGGTCATAGACCCACCTTTAAGTATACCGATATCTCGACTAGCTGAGTCGATCTGGACATATGTGTCCGTCCGTCTGTCCATTATAATTTGTAAACACGATACAGACCACAGTTATAGACCAATCTTCACGAAATTTTGCATGTAGGATGGGTTATGGCCAATGAACACCCCTATTGGTAAAGATCGGTTAATATTTAGGTGATTTAATGGACCAAACACTTAATTTTTGCCCGTTTTTCTGGTCACTCCAGAGTGCGCAATTATGGCCCGAACATCGCGATATTTTACAAGGAAAAAGGGATCGGGAATAAACATGCCTGTTTTGATAAGAATTGGTCAATATTTAACGGGTCAAATGGGCCCTGACTTTTGTGTGAAAAATTACACACTTTTGTATTCTATAGCGTATTATTAGTCCTGAAGGACATAGACCCAAAAAGTTGATAGTATAGCCACGAGGAGTGGTTGACTTTTAAATTGATTCCAATTATATTGTCCTATGTACTCGGATGTGGGCGTAACACTTAAATATTTACAAGTGCCTACGTATTCAGATATTATTTAGTAACCAATTACCACACTAGAGGTCGAAAATATAGCGTTGATCGCTTTGAAATTTTTCCATGAGGATCCAAATATGGTCAAGGACAACGTCTATAATTTGCGGTGATGATCAGATAGTAATATTGGGATGAAATGGACCGAAAATTTATTTTACTTAATTTATTGTGTTTTTCGAGTCGATCTATAGGTCACAATTGAAAGCCGAATATCACAACAGAACCCACGGTGAAGGAATATCATGAATATTGGAAGGGCTGTACTGGATTTGTTGACCACTAGTCGATCAAGAGGTGCAAATATCGTGAAATATTGCCCAAGCTCAGAATATAGAACCACCGAAAGTTAAAATGTCGTGGAAGTTGTGTAGGGTATCATATGGTCGGCCGCGTCCGAATATACTGCTCCTCTCACTGGTTTTAATATACAGTAGATATGGGATACAAGCACATCTCATATAAGAAAGATAATCAAAAACACCGAGCCTTTTACATCTCCCCAGTATAAAAATTGATTCATATAAGAAAAACGCGAATAAGAAAAGCACTGATATAAGAAATGATTATCAAACACCAAAGCTGACAAAGGTATTTGAAAACGTTTCATATACGAAAATATGTACGATTATTGGCCAATTTATTAACATTGAAAATGTTTTATTTCATCAGGGTGATAACTCCCTAGTCCAAACAAAAATAAAATATTTTTTAAATTCTATTTAAAATGATATTGCTAGTTTGGGGGAAAAGAAATCCATTACTTTTATATGAATTGTATGACTTTTTTTAAATGGTTCGGAATGTCCGATTTGGGCCAAATATGCACCGTTTTGTTTTATGATTTGTTGCCATTATAAATGTAACTTCATAATGCCTCTCCCATAGAAGTACTGCTCTCTATTTGCAAAAATCTCTAGTAATGGATTATCACAATTCTCTCTAGATACAAATGTTTTATCATTAAAGAAATTTTGCAATGCAAGAAATGGATTATAATTGCTTGGTGTCAAGTTCGGTCTATGGAGAATGCATTAAAACTTCCCAAACAAGCTCCAGAAGTTTCTGGGAAGTCACCTCTCTTGTTGGCCAATTCTATCTTCCAACGTTCAAGTTGGTGACAAAAGAGATCCGAATTTAACATTTGGCCATATGGAAGCAACTCACAATAAATAATCCCCTTCAAGTCCTACCAAAATTCTTATCAGAACCTTCCTGGTCGTTAGTCCTGGTTTGACCACCGTTTGAGGTGCTTCACCTCTCTTTGACCACGAACGTTTTCGCACAGAGTTATCGTATGTGATCCATTTCTCACCTGCAGTCACCATCCGTTTAAGAAATGGGTATATCTCATTCCTTTTGGCCAAGGCTTCGCAGATGGAAATTTAATCCATCCTATTTTTGTTCTGTTAATTGGTGTGACACCCAAACATCGAGCTTCTTTTTGAATCCAGTTTAGTGTAAATGAGTTCAAACAGTTTTATGGTAGATTTTTAGCTACTGCGCGATGTTACGACTGCTAACATGCCGGTTAACTTCGATCATTTCTCCGATTTTATCGACATTTTCGACGAGCGGCCTAATGCATTTATTTTTCCCCAACTAAACATTAGTTTTCGGGACACATACATGTGGCAAAGATCATTTGAAGATGAAAGACCGAACCTTATTCGTGACATGCCCCATATTTGTTCATTTCGTCTAATTCTCCAGTAAGATATCACAACATCGTCTGGTACAATACACTGTGATTTCCTACAGAAACAAATTATGGGCATGTCTACCTATGAACGACTATATATGGCCATTTTATCGCATGTTCTATAATTAACATTTTCTTAACATATTCTCACCATTCACCCGACAATACTACAAGGGTGTACTGCGAAGCATTTTAATTATCACACATACACATCTACATTACATGCATACACAACCGATTTTAATTAAAGTGTACTTCTTAATTTACACAAAACCATTCTTAAAGAATGAATGTAGGGAGTTCAATCCCCCTGCATTTTTAAGCAAATTAAGATTTTGTCATTGACCTCTGGCAACCCTATTCAAATAATGTAAACAATGCACCTTTAACTTTCACACGAAAAAAGGTAAATTATGATGGGCCATGGGTATGTGACATTACCTACATACATACACCATGTACAAGAAAACAAACAAACACACTACTTACACTTGACCCAGTATTTCTGTTTATTTCAGTTTTTCATTATTTTTTAAGTTTTCAATTTAAGTTAAAAAAAATTCTAAAGGACTCAGAAATTTGCTGTATTTGTGTACTCACTCATGGAAAGCATTCTCCAGCTGACATCTGCCATACCGCACTATCGATTTAATAACATTTACAACTAAAACAAAGGGTTTTGTTGCAAACGACATGTTTGCTGAATGGTTGGCTGTGTGTGGGTGGGTTGATGGGGTTGAGAGTTTGTTTCTTTTTTATCACCAACAAAATTAAATTATAAAAGTCAAGGACACTTGCTGTGATTTCACTTGCTTTGTATGTACGAGTATGTTCACGACGTTTGTGTTCTTTATCACTGACAAACAAACGAAAAATATGTTTTAATTTTTTTCTTTACATTTTATTTAATAAATGTTTACAACAAGAAGGCTTCTCGACACAAGAAAACAAAAAAAAAAAAAAAAAACACACGACAAGAATTCACGACCGAGTGGACGACGAATAACTAACGCCAACAACCGGCAAAACAACCTTTGACGTGCACTTGCACCAAACAACTGAATGGTGGGCCACTGATTGATTTCTGTTGCACTTGGGCAACGGCGTCAGGCTGACAACAATGTCATAAAAAGCCCAATGAAAAAAATAGCCAGCCAAGACGACATGGGCATGACAAATGAAGAAGAGCAACTTAGAAGAAGAGTGAGAGCAAGAGAAAGAGGGACCATGTGTAGGAAAGCAAGAAACTAATATATTTGTTGTTGCACCGCATATGTTGGGGTGTGTGTGTGGGGCTCTGGGGGCTATGTTATGTCCCTTGGCTAATGCTTTGTTTTTGTTTGTTTGACAAAACAAAAATAACAAATCACAAACAAATATGAAAAGATCACACAGAAAAACCTCACACACCTAATGTAATTTAACAGTGATGTCAACTTTTCGAAAGAATTAAAAGAAAAATGCGTAACTTGTAAAGTGTAGATTTCGGTCGTGAATTTTTTTAATGTTTGGCATAAATTAGAAATTTTTAATTTTTTTTTTTACAATTACAGAGAAAAACGATACTTCTTGAGATATGAGATTCCGAATTCGTCAATTTTTATAAAATATTTTGAGGACCTTAAATCACTTTTAGTACGCTTACATTGCACCGAATTTCGTTAAGACAGTCGGTTTCAATTGTCAATTTCATTCTATACATGTCAAATAAAATAACATGTTCACCTCGGTGTGTTTTGTCTTAAATCCGCTACAATTTACAATAACCTATTTTTCTCCTGTATATAGGAGAAAGTCTTAAAACCCACTCAAAAGAAGGACAAATTTTCTCAAAGTTTTACCATTTCTTAGGGCCTTCATCGAAATAAATTTTTATTGCGGAAATCCATAATTCCTGATATGTATATGAGCCTCCTGATATATGGGTAATATAATTAGGTTCCCTTAATATTATACATTATCAGGCAAATTTTGACGATTTTGTGTATGATGTATCAGAAGGAGTAGATCGGTGGCTCTCATCTTGAATTAAGTTTGGAAGAAATATTACTTAGCTGGCTTGTGACAGAAATTCCTTTCCATAAGCCGAGCTTAAAAAAGATTTCCAAACGCGTCGGTCTTTTGCGCAGTTTTTCCAATTAGAAATACCATGTTCAGCAATGTTTTCATCCACTTGATCTTTCCATCTAAGTATTCGTGGTCTTCCCCTTCTACGTGAACCATCAGTAGCCTCGCTTTTATATGCCTTTAGAGCTGGGGCATTCTCATTCATTCGCACAACATGGTCCAGCCACCGTAGTCGCTGCAGCTCTATACGACTGATTATGTCTATGTCCGCGTATAGATTGTAAAGCTCGTTGATCATTCGTCGCCGATATTAACCGTCGACGCAGATCGGCCCGTAGATCATTCGGAGAATTTTTCTCTCAAACACTTCAGATCCATATAACAACACGGGTAGTATCAGCGTCTTGTACAGTGTGAATTTGGTCTGGCGGGAGGTGGCCTTGTTTCTAAACTGTTTACTTATACCATAATAGTTTGCCAACACTATCCTTCTCCGAATTTCAAAGGGTACCAAGGTATATAAAATCTTTGACTCGAAGATGTAGTTCTCAAATTTCACAGTTGGTCAGAGTCTACTGGACGTCTTGCGCGTTGATACATCAGCTTGGTCTTCTCACCGTATACTGCCATGCTGACCTTTTCCAGCATGATGTTAAAAATGTAATACGACAAACAGTCACCTTGTCTGAATCCTCCCTCGTTCGGTAATGAAGAGCTCCTATAGGTCCTTTTCGACTTTAACTGCTGACCTTGTGCCCTTAAAGTTATGCTGCATTGCCGAATTAATTTTGCAAGAATACCGAACGCCAGCATGGCTTTAAATACCTCTGGACGGATAGAGCTGTCGTACACAGCTTTATAGTCGACGAATAGGTGGAATGTGTCGATGTGTTTTTCTTGGGTATTTTCCAGTATTTGGCGCAGAGTGAAAATCTGGCCAATGGTTGATTTGCCAGGTCTGAAGCATTGGTATGGTGCAATCACACAGCACACTGGATAGCACTTTATATGCGATGGAAACAAGTCTAATTCCTCTATAATTGGCAAATTTTGTCTTCTTTTTTATGCACGGGACACAGGATGCTGAGGTTCCAATCATTGGGCATGCATTCCTCTAGCCAAATTGTACTAATCAGTTGGTGCATGCTCCTGAACAGCATCTGACAACCAGTCTTAACACCAGAAGTTTTTCAAAATGCTCCTTCGAGATCCTCAACACGCTGTCTGTATCTGTCTCCAGGTTTCCTTCTTCATCTCTATAGGAAAATGTGCCTGAAGGCTGAATTTTCCGACGGTGGGGTCAAAAATATTTTACCTTCCGATTTTTGCATTAAAATCTCCAAGCAGAATTTGAATATCATGGCCAGGCAGAGGTCATATGCTGTTTCTAGGCGCTTTTAAAATATGCCTTTGGTCTGCTCATCTTTGTCTTCGGTCGGAGCATGGGCGCAAATAAGACTAATGTAAAAGAACTTCGCTTTTATACGGATTATAGCAATTCCCTCATCTACTGGAGTGAATCTGGAGACGAGGTATTTTATTCTCCTGTTAACCATAAATCTTGAGAACATCTGCCAAAGCGAAAACTCCAACTACCAAGTGCAAATCGTGGTCCTTTATACGTTTGCAGAGGTCGTCAACATAGGGGGGTATGGTTTTCTTTTTCATAGTAGGAGAGGTTTTCTGAGTGTGGGATACTAACCCGACGACTCAACCCATTTTTTATAGTTCTTATGGGCAATACTTGCCCCTACAAATACAAACGTTAATAAATCGAGATGTACGGTGTCAGAAATGAAAACCGAAGACATCGTTTCAGGCATATCTGCCTGTAGTGTCAAACAAAAATACATGGTGACAAATAGTGTGCTGAGGATCTGGACCGAAAATTCGCAAAGTTTCTGGTAACAAATACAGGGACCCTGTTTTTTTTTTTTTTAAAATCAAAGAAAAAAATAAAAATTTGGCGGTTGGCAATGTTAATCATTTAATTTGTTCCAAGTAGATTTGTTTACATCAATTTTTGAATATGGTATCTCTCAAATGACCGCCTCTGGCGTTGATGATGTATTGTGCCCTTTTTGCTGCATTTTCCATCGTTTTTGCCAACATTTCGGCCGGAATAGCGGCTACTTCTTCACGAATGTTGACCTTGAGCTCTTCTACGGTCCCCACAAGAAGAAGTCAGGCGGCGTCAAATCGGACGAACGCGGTGGCCAGTCCAAATCACCACTTTTCGACATCAAACGGCCCGGAAACAAATTCTTCAGAAAATCGATTGTTATGCGACTTGTGTGCGGTGGAGCGCCGTCTTGTTGAAACCAGAACTGTATCATACGCTTTCGACGAATAATTAAGTTTGAATGACATGTTCCACTGTAAAATGTTTAGATCACACCGAATACACAAACAGAATTATAGCGCGCACCAACCAGACAGCCGTGTAGACGTTTTTCCAAATTGATTCTAAATTGACTGATGCGGATTTTGTCCAAAGACACTTGGAGTCTAAAACTCATATTTCTTGGCACTTTTTTCGCATATTGACACCACTGTTGGTGCGACACTATGCCCCAACCACACAAAAACAAACAAATAATCAAACAAACATAACAAATAACAAAATTTCTCAAGACCCCCTCCCCATTGAAAACTATTGAAATTAAAGCGCAAGTGCAAAAATAAATATCAATAATACAATAACACAAAAAACAACAGCAGCAACTACAACAATAGTTACTTACGATACCATCGTATTACTCGAACGAGACGATTGCTTAAATTGTGGTTAAATACGGTATTTAGGCTACTTGATGGTGGATTGCATGTGTGCGACAGAAACTTTTGAAAGCAGAGACGTCGGACAATGTCAGCCAAACATAATTGTGGAGAGCAGATTCCAATACCTTTTTGTTTACGCTCAGCCACCACAACCACCCACAAGGTGGAATGGACTTTTTTTTTAGAATTTTGTTTACATTCGATTATTTATTGGAAAAAAAATTTATTTGATATCAAGCAAAAGGGCAGTGATCGAAGGGAGACCTCCTCTGACATGTTCTGAATGAAGTATAGTCTACATGTGGGGAATTTTTTTTTTTTTTGTAGAATGCATTGAGAATTGGAAAAATCAATTTTATATCAGATGGAAGCAAATTGAATATTCATAAACGTCTCGGATGATAATAGTATGTAAGAGATTGCTGCGACAGCACCTCGGGTATGGCCAAAGGTGTGTCATGTAGAAATATACACACACATTGACAATATATTTACAAATTGCAAATTATTCGTAAAATTGTTAGAAAGTTCTACAATTTTTTTATATATATATATATATATTTATAGTTATGAGTGATTTATGAGAATCCTAAGGATAAATAATGTTAACTATATATTCGATGGGCAGCGGCAACCCTAGTTTATTGGCCGCCTAAAAATAACACATTTTATTCCATTTAAAATTTGAACATTCAGGACATTTATAACACATTTTTTGAATATTTTAATAGATAGGATAGATAGATTTTCAGATCCATACAATACCTGTTACGGGGTTATGTATGAAATTTCTTTTTTATCGGTTTTGAGATCCATACAATACCTTTTTTGTTGGGATTATATAG